TCCCTTATAACCACAAAATATTTTATAATATAATATAATAATGAGCTTTGGAGGTGTTCATACGTGTATTTTTTAAAAACTTTTGACAGAGCCATGCTAGCTGTTTCCACCCGTTTACAGTGTTTATGCTAAGCTAGGCTAACCACATCTTCACTCTTAACCTGACATGACATTAATATCCATCTGAACGTTGAACCATTCCTTGAACTATGCAGTGTTAATTTCTGTTGTTGTTTAATGATGAAATTGTTGATGTGTTCACGATGTACATACAAAAAAAAACTCTGAAGAGAAAGAACTGTCTCTGCATCCAGTCCTGCTATTTACATTCACCAATTTAAGTTACTAGTTCATCAATACACAGTATCTCACAAAGTGAGTGCACCCCTCACATGTCTGTAAATACCTGATTATATCTTTTCATGTGACCACACTGAGGAAATGACTCTACTTAGCTACAATATAAAGTAGTGAGTTTACAGCTTGTACAACAGTGTAAATTTGCTGTCCCCTCAAAATAACACATCACACAGCCGTTAATGTCTAAACCGCTGGCAACAAAAGTGAGTACACCCCTCACATTTTTTGTATATACCCGATTATATCTTTTCATGTGACCACACTGAGGAAATGACTCTTTGCTATAATGTAAAGTAGTGAGTTTACAGCTTGTACAACAGTGTAAATTTGCTGTCCCCTCAAAATAACACATCACACAGCCGTTAATGTCTAAACTGCTGGCAACAAAAGTGAGGACACCCCTAAGAGAAAATGTCTAAGATGTTTCTAGTGGTTATTGAAAATAAGTCGATCCGAACTGGTGAAGTGTTGAGGGTGGATGTAGGGAGATGACTGGGGGTTCTTTGGTGTTACTGGGAGGTTATTGAACAGAAATATCACCTTACCATGTCCTTCCTAACACACTGTGTGTCTGCTGAGGTGGATTATAGAGAGGTAAAATCAGACGTAAGCTCTATCCTGAAAAGATAAAGGTGGAGGCAGTCAGACACTCACACAACATGTGTTCGTGCCAAATGTTTTCAAATTATAATCCACAAAAACTGAACGTCATGCTCGGATACTCCAGCAAACCTGGAATCAGGAGGAGAAACAAGAAGTGGGTAAACCAAAGGTGAGGGAAGGGCTGGGTATCGATGTTTAGATACGATGATGTTGATTTCAATTTCTGCAAAATATTATTTAAATTGCATCTACAAATAAAAAAAGTGTGTAAACCACGGGGCCCCAAAAGTCCTGTTATTTTTACCTTTGTGTGCACAAGATGTTAAATTAGTGTGCACAAGATAAAAGATCTGTATCTCACAAGATACACATATCACACATATCAGGAGTATAAGTTATTATCTTGTGTTGTGTTTTGGGATTTTAGGGGGCTCCGTACTATACAGAATATTGTATGACTTTGACCAGGAAATATCTGACGATAGAACAAGTTAACAAGATCACAACAGAAACTTGACCATGTTTATCTTCAGTAGTTCAAGCTTTACATTTTACAAGCCGTGAGTGATTTGATGTGTTAATGTCACTCGAAGCTGTGAACACTCTTTGGTCAGTACACAGAAAGTACTGAGGTCCGATACCCAGCCTTGGTTACGGGCGAGGCTGCAGCTGGACTGAATAAAAACCTGGAGCTGAGGAGGATAACATCACACTGACTGTGGGCACGGGCATCATTCACATGAGCTGAGAACTGAGTTTACAGAAGCTTAGTGAGGGGAGATGGAATGAGGAACTTGGACTGGGTTCAGCATCGAACTCTTTCCCTCTGCTGCAGAAATCTTTATTCATCTGTGACGTAATTTGGCCCTGAGACACAAGTCAGACTGAGAAGGGAAGCAACACACATGCAAAGACACCTATGGCAAGATGTTTTAACATGTATTCCAACTTACTAGCCGCTATTTAAACGCTATTTACTAGTAATAACTAGTTATTATTATTTAGATACTAGTCTCCAGATCTAAGGGAGGTGAATGCGGACGCAGAGACGCTTTATAGAGGAGACACGCCACTCAATCACATCCTCAACATAACTCTATATGAAAAGCCTGTAACGGCAAAGATGGCGGTTATCCCGCCCCTTTCACAAGAAACCCAATCACTGCTTTTAACAGCCAAAGTGGGAAACATATTTCAATCGTGTGGTTCCACTGACGTAAGGGTCTGTTTTACTTCTACTGCACATGCGTGGAAGAGGTGACGCATGCGCGGTAGAAGCATAACTGGTCAGGAAAAACTCTTTTTAAACCTTATTTTGGGGCAAAGTCGTCAAACTTTTTCAGAGATTTTTATTAGATTTTACTGCTGATTCTATTCATGTAGTTTTTATGTCTCGGTGACCTGTGAAAGTGCAGTTCTGGCTCTTCTGCTCATTCATTCAGATAGAAGCCTGGTCTTGTTAGTACGAAATAGCTGCCCGGAGGCGTTGCCAAGATGGCGGCTGAGTGGCTGGACTTGCGTCTAAGGACTTTGGTGGAAGTCCCTTAAACCTGCGTTCTATTGAACAGCCAGCAGGGGGCGACTCCGATGGTTGCAAAAAGAAGTCCGTTTCCATTAGAAATAATGGCAGAATGAGGCTACCTCTCAGCTGATTTATTGCCTCAGTAAACACTTTCCTACCTTGTAACTGAAAAGTCGTTACCATGGCGACCTGTCAATCAGGCTAGAGTGACGCGTACCCTCGGCATTGTGTAAATTTAACCAGCGCCGTTGAAAAAGCTTATTAGGAGTTGGGCTGTTCACTTTCTCTGGTGAGCACATTTAGTTTTAAGCCTGTTGTTCGCTAGACAAAATTATCAGCCCTGTTAAAATGACAGTTAACGTGAATTACAGATGCACCTAGCTAAGAAAGCTAGCTAGCTCTGCATGGAGCTCCGCCGTCTCGTCCAAATATGGTCACATCCGGTGCCGCTGGTTGCAAAAACTCGACATAGCGGCGCCCTATCGGCCAAACTCGAGGCTTCAAAACGGCAGTCCACAAACCAACAGGTGACGTCACGATGACTACGACCACTTCTTATATACAGTCTATGACTAGTGCTTATTTTTTAGATATCACTACTTACCATTAAATACTACTTTTTGAAATCTATGGCGCTCTGCAGTTCAGATATTAAGTACTAGCATCTAATCAATTGTTACTTGTAAAACGGGAAATAGTTACTAGTAACTAATGAATATATGCCGTCCCTGCTCTGCTTCTACTTTAAAAAACCCAACGGAAACACAATAAAGCAGCGCTGCCAAACCTCCGAAACACTTAAACAGCTTCTGGAGTTTAAAAAAAGCTTCCAATCAGAAGAGCTGTATACGCTCACTCCCTGAGCTGACAAAAAAAGAAAACTGTAAAGTCAACAGAAGAATGTGTTTCCCCCCCCCCGCCTGCTCGCCCTCTTTCCTGAGAAACGTTGTCTGGCTTCAGGCTCAGCAGCACCACAGCAGCAGAACTCGCTGACAGACAGAGACCATACAGAGGATTACGCAACACCATCCGGCCTCGGGGCGCGTTGACCCGATGAATGGAGAGACATAAAGACGGTTACAGCTGCCTCAATTAACCAGAATGCAATGCAGCTACACGACATGAGTGTCCTGGCGAGAAGAAAGATGAAGACGATGTAAATCATCAACAGGCTTCTTTTCAGTCTGCTGCATGTATAACAAGTACGCCATCGCACTGTAATGTTTGATACACACCAGAAAACTAAAGCTTTATCCACAGCGGCCATTTTATTGCTGGACTCCTGCCAAGTGTTTACGGATCAAACTGATGCCGAAATAACTACAATATGATGCAGATTTGTTAAACATGTGAATTCATGCTTTGCAGCAGGACAACAACTTTTAAAATGTTTGTTTTCTGAATGGCGTTCAGATCGATCGGGGCTATGCTATGCTAACTAGTTCACAGTTAAGTACAATGATAATAAAAGCTGCTGACTCCGAGCTCCTCCCGCGGGTAAACGGCGTAGTTGTAAGAGCATTATCCAGTCTGACTACGGGTGTTTATTTGTCCAAAAGCTGCAGCGCTGCTCACTTCGCTTTTGATCTGAAAGCACCACAAGACACATCGACAGCGGAAGTTCCTTTTGATTCCGCCCGATGCGACCTTATTTCAGAATAAATATGTATGGTAGTCAACGGCGAGAGACAACTAACGTTTTGATCCCGTTTGAATTGTGTGCCGAGTTGCACACATCTGATTTGAATGTTGGACTGCTGAGGACAGAAGGACACAGCACACTCTAAAGTTTGGTTACTCTCACAGTTATGAATATTAAGAATGAAACTAAATTTGATATCAGACACCTCAATGCCACTGTTCTTTTTATGGATATATATATATTTATAGAAATAGATAGATATAGGTTATTACTGTTAATTAACAGTGTAAGATCGGTACGGAGCCAGAAGTCCTCAAAGGTCCTACAAATATTAGATTAGATAAACCAAACACAATCTTAAAATCCAGTACATTTATTACGACTTGTACTACAATATTGAGGTACTTGTACTTTACTTGAGTACAACTTTCCCTCATTATGGAGGCCAATATTGTTCAGTTTTACTTTAATACATTTATTTGATACTGATGAAAATGTCAGAATAATGACTTGCTAGTGCTAATGCTAGCTCAGCTAACTCTGTGTAGCATCATCATATCAACATCCTGATTATCCAGGAGTCTGTTTTTATCTTGAGTTCCTTTAGTTCACATACTTAAATTAGAAAACATCTCTTTGACTTCACATCACAAAGTGTCAAAGGAGAGAAAAAAGCCCGTCCACCTCCCACCACGCCGCAGGATTAAAGCTTTAGCAGCTGCCTCTCAGACCAGCTGGCCTTTCGCTTCATGCAGGCGGCACACAAAAGGGGAAACTGAATAAAACAGTAGGACGTGTTGGTTTGTTTGTGTTAGCATGCAGACAACATGTCACACGTCACGCCATCAGGTGGTGGGTCGGGTTTAAACTGACCTCTGCTCCTCCTCGATCTCCTCCTTGGTCATCAGCGTCTCGAACTTGCTCTGTTTCTTCCCCGGAGTGAACGTCACTTTATCTTCGGCTGCAGCCACATCTGACACACAGGAGACACACAAGTAATTTACTTTTAATACTAATAATGTCAATACCTGTAAAAGAGTATTTTTACAGTGGGGTGTTGGTAATTTTACTCAACTAAAGGATCTGAATGTATTTGCATACTTCTCACTCACAACTCGTCACATCTGGACGCATGGTCAAGACCCTTTGGCGTCAATTTGTAACGCACTGAGGATCCCCGTAGTGTCATAGTTCAACGCACTGGGGGGAAGCCCTGTAGCGTTACTTTTGAACACTAAAGGTGGGTGTATAATATTTAACAGAAAAGTCAGAGTAATGTGGTTTGGGTAGACGGTGGGCCAGAAACCGGACTTTCAGTCAGGAGCCCGGTGTTCATTTCCCGTGTGAAACAAAAAATCAATACTGAAAGTTTTTGTTAAAGTTACGCAAGTAACGTAAATTAACCTAAGTAAGTTAACTGATTTACGTAACTTAGTTATTTTACCTAAACCACAATCTTTTCCTAAACCTAACCAAAGTACCTTTACTTTGAAAGTCTAACCGGATATTGCATATTTATTGTTGGTAACAGGGGTCGTGGATGTTGAGCGAACCTAAAGTTGCATGAATGTGATTCATGTGGTGACATAAACAAACGTGCTCTGATAGCAAGGCTATTTTTCAAACTCAATCTTGTTTATTTCAATTGTCTGTTAATGATTGATAAAAATTAAATCCAGTTTTGCGGGGGTGGGCGTGACAAAAAAAGTTTGAAAATAAAGATTTTCCTATTAATTATTTGATGTGTGCTAAAATGGTTAGCATATCATTTATAGGCTAATATAATATTATACAATTTACAATAATATCACTCTGACTGGAGTTAGCTTATAAATTGCTATCACTTAACTTGGCATATGTTGTGTTAACATTTTACTATTACTTGATGTGTGCTAAAACAGTTAGCATTTCATTTCCTATTACTTAATTTGATGTGCTAAAATGGTTAGCATATCATTAAAGGCTAATATATCACTTTGCCTGGAGTTAGAATATAAATTGCTATTGCTTATCTTGACATATGTTGTGTTAACATATTACTATAACTTAATTTGATGCGTGCTAAAACAGTTAGCATATTAATTCCTACCACTTACTTCATTTGATGTGTGCTAAAACAGTTAGCATATGATTTCCTATTACTTAATTTGATGTGCTCTAAAATGGTTAGCATATCATTTATAGGCTAATATATTATTATACAATTTACAATAATATCACTCTGGAGTTAGCTTATAAAATGCTATCACTTAACTTGACATATGTTAACATTTTACTATTACTTGATGTGTGCTAAAACAGTTAGCTTTTCATTTCCTATTACTTAATTTGATGTGCTAAAATGGTTAGCATATCATTAAAGGCTAATATATCACTTTGCCTGGAGTTAGAATATAAATTGCTATTGCTTATCTTGACATATGTTGTGTTAACATATTACTATAACTTAATTTGATGCGTGCTAAAACAGTTAGCATATTAATTCCTACTACTTACTTCATTTGATGTGTGCTAAAACAGTTAGCATATGATTTCCTATTACTTAATTTGATGTGCTCTAAAATGGTTAGCATATAATTTATAGGCTAATATATTATTATACAATTTACAATAATATCACTCTGGAGTTAGCTTATAAAATGCTATCACTTAACTTGACATATGTTAACATTTTACTATTACTTGATGTGTGCTAAAACAGTTAGCTTTTCATTTCCTATTACTTAATTTGATGTGCTAAAATGGTTAGCATATAAATAAAGGCTAATATATTACTCTGCCTGGAGTTAGCTTATAAATTGCTATCACTTAACTTGACAAATGTTTTGTTAGACTTTCTTATTACTCAGTTTGATAATGCTCAAAGCCAGATTATTCAGGACACACGCAGGATGTTGGCGTTGAGGCTTTATTGGCGCTGAATCTGTAAATTGAATGAATGGTTGATAATACTGTGCGCACGTACAACACACACACACACACATTAGCAACACACACCTGCTGCTCCACCTGTTGTGTGACAGGTTGGAGGGACATAAAGCAGATTGTCAGTCTGGACAGCGGCTGTTGTTCAGGGCAGCCAAGTGCTTTACTGATTAAGTATCATCCTCCTGAAGCAGATGGCTGCTCCGCCTCTGTGCACAGCAACTGATCCACAGTCAATCCACTGCTGTCAGTGGACTGAGGAGGTGGCTGCTGTGACTTGTGAATACAAGTAGAGACGCACACAGAGCACGTGTGTTTATTCACGCTTCATGTATCTGTAGCTGCCGGCATGTTCAACATTTGTTCGTTAGATATAAATAAAGCGCTGACATTGTTTCCCAGCAGATGGAAACCAGACGTCCTGAGCGGTTAATCTTGTGGACGGAGGATTTTCTGCTTAGTGGCATCATGAGATTATATTATTATTATTATTATTAGTTCACTGTGCAAATGTATTGATTGTTAATACATTTCGTAGCGTAAAGATGTGTCTGTGCTGTAAATACAGGCAGCCAGCTCGACTCTATCGGCTTCTCCTGGAAATAACTTTTTATCAGCTGTGTGCAGCCGCTGCGTCTGCCTGCTGCATGGAGCTGATGTTCTTCTCAAAGATTAGATTTAGAGCAAACAAAGGAAGCCTCTCTAATACACATGAATCCAGTTAGAGCGTAAAAGACTGTATTGAGTTATTGGTGAATTACATACGCTTGTTTTGTCTCACTGATGTTTGATATGAGGAGCTTTGTCCTGTTGCGTTCAGTTGGACCTGCGTGTAGTCTGACAAAAGTGGTGTTGGGAGTAACGCGTTACAAAGTAATTAAAGTAATCTTTGCTTTTTTGCTGTAATATAGCGCATTACTAATAAAATTTCTGTAATATTATACTTTCAATCACAATAATGCGCGTTACACATTTTAACCCGAAATTAAGGGTGTCTCTAAAATATTGACAAGTTGCTGTTTTTACCATGTGTATTTTTCTGTATTTATCATCATCGATCATGTTTAACGATTTCCTTTCCTGATCAGAGAACCAATGAAATTTATGCTGCTGTACTTTGTGCGTAAATACGCTATTGCAGGTTTTTATTTAGCCACGATGTTTGAATATTCTATTTGCCTAGTTTGATAACTACTAAATAGTGGGATGATGTTTAAGATGTTTAATGAAAGATACAGTGAAATTTAGGCTGTAGATCAGAATTAATTGCTTATCCAACTGAGGGACAACGAGCCATTTTTGGATTTCAACAAATTGTTGCTAGCACCGGCACTCAGGCCTGATAAAATACAAGACTGGACATGTATACAACAGGCCTTTGCAAGGAAACTGCAACTCTGAAGGCTGTGAAGGTCCTTATGTGATGCAGCACACAGACTTGGAGTGCCTGTGTTGATGTTAACCAACTGTAGGATTGTTTTACACATATACAACGTTTTGCTAATACCAAGATGATGTCTCACATTTCAGTCTTATTACTTTAGAAGTGTTTTAGGGTAGAATACACTATTGTTTTAATATTGATTATATGTGTAGAGGTGGAGAAGAGGAGGAGACAGGATATATCAACCAATGTAATGACTTTGAGGAGTCTGCTCCTTTATATAGCACCTTTCTCAGACAAGAGGGGTCACAAAGTGCTTCACAGTATAAAATAAAATAAAACAAATAAAAACAACAACAACAACAACAATACATAAAATACAAAACCATATGGCTAGTTAAGGTGTTAAAACGTGTTCTGGGAACAGTTAAAAAGGTCTTGGCCTCACGACCTCAGAGAGCGACCAGAAGTGTGTGCGTGCAATAGATCCTGGATGTAAGAGGAAGCTTGACCATGCAAGGCTCTAAGTAATGGTTAAAATTTTAAAATGCACTCTAAAACCAATCGGAGGCCAATAAAGGGCCTTAATCACAGGAGTAATGTGTGATCTCCTGCTTGTCTTAGACAAAAGTCTTGCAGCTGCACAACTTGCAGTTTGTCCATGGAGGATTTGTTTAAACAAGTGTACATTTATTCATTTTAGCTGAGGCTTTTTATCCAAAGCGACTCATAGCTGCTATATATATATATGTCAGAGGTCGCATGCCTCTGGAGCATCTAGGGGTTTAGTGTCTTTCTCAGGGACACAATGGTGGATACAAAGGCATAGTCTTATCCATTGCGCCATCAACACCCCGTGTACAGTACATTGCAATAATCCAAATGATAAGAAATAAAAGCACAAACAAGCATCTCCATCTCACCACAGATCCACCACAGAATGTTCCTGAGATGGAAAAAACAGGAACAAACCACAGATTTAACGTCAAAAATGACACCCAGATTTCGCACAACATCAGTACAGTCAGAGGATGACAGAGCCCCAGTGGCGTGCCTAATCTTAGGGGTAATGTTGTCTGGGGCAAAAATCACCACCACCATCAGTTTTGTCTGAATTTAGTTGCAAAAATGATGTTGCCAGTCATTTATTAATGGAGGCTAAGCAATTGTGCCACAAGGACAGTTTGTCTAGCCTATCAGAGCAAAAAGATAAATATAATTGGATGTCATCAGCGTAAAGGAAATATAATGTGTGAGAGTGAGGCCCGGTCGGCCTCTGGCCTGGTCTGAGGGTTTTTCCTCCTACAGCGTCTTTCTCAACAGGGAGACGATTCATCCTATTTCACCCATCAGCAACCACCTGCTATTAACCAGACTGTTCCAATCCATTGGATGGGTGCATCCCTACTGCAGTGAAAAGAGAACTTAAGAGGCCAAGTAGGAGTACTGGTGTACGTGAACAGCAGTCTTACCATTGTTCAGGACGGTCTCTGGTTCAGGTTCTGGTTCAGGCTCAGTAGGTGCTTCCACGACGGGTTCAGGGGTCGGCAGGTGGTCTTCTGTGGTTGCAGGGATTATCTCAGGTGAGGACTGCTCGGGTTCAGGTTCAGCTGCAAGCTGCTGGATCGCTTCAGATACCGGTTCAGGCTCTGGATCAGGCACTGCAACAGGTTCTGGGACAGGTTCGGGTACTGATGCTGGTTCTGGAACCGCAGCTGGTTCTGGGACAGGTTCAGGTGCTGAAACTGGCTCTGGGATAGGTTCAGGTACTGATTCTGGCTTTGGTACAGGTTCTGGCTTTGGGATAGGTTCTGGTGCTGTAGCTACTTCTGGAACATGTTTTGGTTCTGGTAAAATCTCTGATACTGTGACTGGGTCTGGTACTTTTACTGGTTCAGGAGCAGATTGTGGTGCTGATACGGGTTCTGATTCTTTCACTGGTTCAGGGACAGGTTCTGGTTCCGACACGGGTTCTGGTACTTTTACTGGTTCAGGGACAGGTTCTGGTGCCGACACGGGTTCTGGTTCTTTCACTGGTTCAGGGACAGGCTCTGGTGCCGACACAGGTTCTGGTACTTTTACTGGTTCAGGGACAGCTTCTGGTGCTGACGCGGGTTCTGGAACAGCCTGGAAAGACACATGGTTTAAAAACAGTTAATTTATTCCAGAGTTAAAACCATAAACTTCCCAAACAGCTGATCTGAGCAGCAGTTTGTTGTGATGCAGCTGACCGAGAGACAAGTCCTGAAACAGAAGCCGGGACGTGTGAACAGACGTCCACCAGTATTTCAACTGATCTATAAAACTTCACTGGTGAAATAATCCTTCTGGTAAAAACATTAACATAAAACATCTCTACATTTAAATAAGTGGGAGAGCAGGAGGAAGTTCCTCATGGGGATGTGAAATTATACAAATGGCAGCGGTAAAAATACAAATATCAATAAAAATGGATCCAAAATATTTATTTAAATGATGTTTTCATGTAAATAAAACACAAATTAAATGATATGGATGTCCAACACGATCTCATCCCAGAGCATATGGACGCTTTGTTAACACCGTTTAACGTTGCTTTTTAACGGCCTGGGCACCCTTTAGCAACATCTGTGGACGTGTTTAGCAAGAATAAATATGCCATGCTCGGTTATACTTTCAAATTAAAACAAGTGGTGCAGTTGGGTCAGGTTTAGGAAAACATGGTGGTTTGGGTTAAAATAACTACGTTTCTTACGTGACTTAAATTACGTAAGTTAAGTAACGTTACTTACAAAAGTTTCATAAGATCACTCAAAGGAATCAGTGTTAACTTATTGTTTCACACGGAAAGCGAACACTGGTCTCCTCGTTGACAGTCCGGATTTTGGCCAACACATCCACCCCAACCTCCTCCTTACTCGGACCTTCTGTTCTTTAAAGTAGTAGGAAGCGAAAGGCTGCCATGTGAGTTGGTACCAAATGCTGAAGGACGTGACGCTCTGGAAATGAGAACGGGCTGAGATATCTATATTAGCCTTCAGCATAGACCTTTTCCACCAACCCGTTCTAACTCCCTAACTCCTCACATATGGACGCATGGTCAAGACCCATCGGCGTCAGTTTGTAACGCAGTGGGGATCCTTATAGCGTCATAGTTCAATGCAGTGGGGGAAGCCCTGTAGCGTCAGTTTTTGACAGTAAAGGTAGGTATATGATATTTAACAGAAAAGACTGAGTAAGGAGGTGGATGGAGGGCCAGAACCCCGACTTTGAACCAGGAGGCCGGGGTTTGTGTCCCAGCTGAAACAAGTTAGGGGAGTTACTTAAATTGCGTACGTTAAGGAAGTGATGTAAGTTAACTTACTGACCTACGCAGTTATTTTAACCCAAAACATGATCTTTTCCTAACCTTAACCAAGTAGTTCTTGCTGTTGCTAAGCGTTGCTAACTTGACCGTGGAGCCTTAAATGTCTAAAAATGACGCTAAAGTGATTCCCAGGGCTTTAAAAAGCGACGCCAAAGGGCCTTGACCAAGCGTCAATATGTGCCGGGAGTTGGGAGTAAGAATGCGTTGCATTGTTTCCACAGCAGATCTGGACTTGGTGTACATTAATAACATGAATATTGCGCATGCTGGCTCACCTGAATGGAACTAAACCTTCGTTAATAATTTCAGTTGTACACCTGTGCTTTTTTAAAACAAGTCAAAATACCTGCTGTGAATAAGCTGAAACATCCTCCCAGAATAATCACATGAACAAAGTCTGCAGTGCTGATCAAAAGTATAATTAATATATCATCGGTCAAGGTGATCAGATTAACATTTTGTAGAGGTGATATCTGTACACGTGAACAGTGAGCGCTGACTGGGCCGCCGACCTCTGACCGACTAACGCTGGAGTGACTCCTGTCAGTTGCAGCTCCCCACCAAGGATCAGGCGCCGCCTGCTGCTGACACCAGGACAAATAAAACCCTCTTCAGTGTCCAACCTGTCCTTTCCCTGACACCTGACACACACACATATATATATATATAAATCCATCTTTTCAATGACCGACCTGTACAGACGCACCACTCTGAGTCTTGTGAAGTGCTGAGTTTGCACATTTGAGCAGCAGATATGGTTTCTCCACCAGCCTCTGATGCTGTTACGACAGACGATGATGACAGGATTCACAGTTTTAGGAACAAACTTGTGACTGAGGTTTCCTTTAATGAGGTGTTGTAGGAAACTTATCAGTCCTTAAACGTGGAAGGCTTTAAAGTCACAAGAGTTCAATTTAAGTTCAAGATTAGCAGACACTAAATCAAGATCATAAAAAACAAAATCAAGATAATAAAATACTTTATCAGTTCTAACAGACACTGAATTCATCCTCTGAACCACAGCAAAAAACGTGGAAGGCTTTAACGTAGAATGGAGGGTTTTGTTTGGCTCGATTTTAACTAAGCCTCATGTCACAAGAGCTCAGTATAACAAAACAACCGAATGACCTGTTTTATTAGAAAAATCAAATTACAATCATTCTCAACTTTTTATGTTTGTGGAATCAATGATCTAATCTAATCTAAACATGCCTCCTTAAGCCCGTTAGCAAAGAGTCTGGCACTCGGTCCCCTTAGCTTAGCATTAGCATTTGGTCCTGTTATCTTTTAAGTCTTGTTAGCAAACAGTTTCCGAGCCCCGTTTATGCTTCACTGAGCAACATCAGCAGAATGGGAAGAAACTCTCGTTACTCTGTAGTTCTTCTCACCAAGTGGGAAATATCATCACATCTGATCTCCGACTGCTTGGAGGTTGAGTTGAGCAGTTTTTCCAACTTGGCAGCATGTAATTATAGTCTGAATGGTATAAAGTGAATGAAGCAGTTAGCTTCAAGGCTTCTGACCTGACAACTACAGGATTGACTGGTGACTAGTTAGTAAACAAGATGTAAATCAGACAGCTTTGGAGTTGGTGGATGGTGGATATTTTTTATTGTAGGCTAACAGTTTCCCCCTGCATCCAGTCTTTGTGCTAAGCTAGGCTTAACACATCAGCTCTGTAATGTTCCAGGCATAAACAGGTACCCCTTACAGAAAAAACACGAATGTCGTATGTTTTCATGTGTTAAATTGCGTTTAACGGCGTTTGTTGTGAATCTTTGTTACAACATGTTTACTTAATACCAGATAATAAAACGACAACTGAAGACGAAATGTTTTCTGGATAAGAGACTGCAGTGTCCTTGTCGGGTCCCATCAGACAAAAGCAGCCTCGACCTGGACAGACGCCACAGCTCTCTGATGACTCACTACAGTGACAACCGGTGGCATCATGAGAGGTCAGACAGTGAAATGAATCAGTCCTGACCGCATTAAACCACTGACTGCTCTCTGCAGCCTGCCTGGTCTCTTAATCCCACAGCAGCCCGTCCATCACACCCTCAAACTGGAATGGCATCCATAAAGCTTGAAACACTGGTCCCTTCATTTGCTTCTGAATTCCTGAGCTATGAAACGTCAAAATAATCTCAACACCAACGAGCTGACTTGCTGCAACAAAGCGCTCTGGGTCAGGATGCTAAAAGCAAGGTTATAACATCATTTTATGAGTCAGCAGGATGATAAACTGTAACAGCTTGTACTGCTGGCCGCCTAAATTGGTTAAAATATGTTTGTTGGGTGAGTAATTCCTACATGAGATCATCGCAAACATTGTTTGTAATCGTTCCCGAGATATTTCTGCTCTGTGGAATGCATCAACCAAACAGCAGAGGCTCACAGAGACTTTATGGAAGGCCATTACTGCCAAGACAAGGAAAGAACTGATGAAATTTTACAGAAGAAATACAAATGGTAGGTCAACATTTTTAGATAAGGAGTCAAATTCTTTTGATATTAAATCAAGATTGTGAGATATATAAGACATTAATATAAAATCGAGGTTACCAGACACAAAATCAACAAAATAAAAGACAAGATTACGAGATACGAAATTACTATAACCTGAGACACAAATTCAAGATTGTAAAATATTAAATAAAGATTACAAATTACAAAATCATGATTATAAAATACTAAATGAAGATTACAAATTACAAAATCATGATTATAAAATACTAAATGAAGATTACTACATACTAAATTACCATAACCTGAGACACAAATTCAAGATTGTAAAATATTAAATAAAGATTACAAATTACAAAATCATGATGCTGAATCAAGATAATAAAATACAAAATCAAGACCACAATATACTAATTACAGATTATGAGATACTAAATTAATATAACCCAAGATACAAACTCATGATTACGAGATGCTGAATCAAGATTCTAAGATCCAAAGTCAAGATTATAAAATACAAAAATCAAGATTATGAGATATTAAATGAATACAAACCGAGAGACTAAATGAAGATGTTAAAACACTAAATCCAACTGAAATGTTCAAAATCCAAATCAAACTAAATAGAAGTCACATGTAATTTTGGAAAATAAGCTCGGCCTTCCTGACCTCAGAGAGCATTTCCTGGTAAATATATCTCAACATTACACTGACTGCTTCACTCTTAAAAGCCATTTGAGCTCTTTAGCGGGGCGCATTGGATCTCCTGGCATGTGGGTAATTTAGTGAACAACCTGAGCAAACACTAATGAGGAAGCGGCGCCAGTTGTTGAAGAGCCTGAGGCATGAGATCAGCAAGCTGCTCCTCTGTTATAAGGTCGATGAAAAGAGATGAATAGGATCTATTAACAGAAATGCAATATAAGATCCATGTTTTCAGTGGTGTATAAAAACCTTAGATAATGAACTGTTATGTTTTTATTACCTTAGAATGAGACATTTATATCTACATACACTGCGGGTCTTCAGAAGGAGAAAAACATGTACTAGTATTAGTAGTAGCAGCAGTCTGGTTTGTTAGAAGAGAAGTGAAATTTGGACAAATGGAGGACCACACGTATTATTTAGCACAAATAAAAATGTGTCGCCCACTGTAGCTTCTCTTGGTCTCTTGCAAAGGGAGGGGGGAGCAGTGACTGATGGTGCATTCATGTGGTGTCGGAATAATCAAATATGTTTTCCCCTCCTTAAATCTTTATTGCAAAGAGAAATAAAGTGTCCATGGGATATAAAGAAGTATACAGAACAGCTTTTC